GGGGGGCACACCTGCCAGCACCCTCTGCCCAGGCCTTGCAGGGCAGGCCTGCCTGCCTGTGCCTGCCACATCCGTGTCTTGCTCATTGCAGGACAGACGGGGCCAGTGAGGATTTGCCCACATCCTGGCCTGACATGCAGCTGCTCCCCACATGCTGCCCCAGTGCTGCCCCGGAGGCAATCCGATCGCAAGGTGCCTCGAGCACAGCCACCTCGGCCACGCTGCAGGAAGAAGGCAGCAGGACATGCGGTCTGAACATGCCGCACACAGCCCTGAGCACGTGCAATACACACCAGCATGCTGGGGCAAACATGCACAAGTGTAAAATGTGCAGGTATGGAGTTACACGCTCCCATGGCCACGCACAAGCAAGCAAGCACATGTACACACAGAGATACACAACCACACGTGCGCACATGCGGCTACGCACGTGCAGACGTGCAGCCATGTGCACACATGCACACAACACAGCCACATGCACATGCAAATGCACAGAACAAGGCCATGCACATATACAGACACACACATAGGCACATGGCCACGTACAAGCACAGACACACACAGCCATGTGTACACCCACACAGAGCCACATGCACACACAGTACACACACATGGCCATGCACATGCACAGCACATGCACACACACAGCATACAGCCATGTACATGCACATGGCCATGCTCAGACACACAGCCAAGTGCTCATACCCACACCCACAGAGCACATGCACACACATGGCCACATGCAAACACACACCACATGCACATGCACACAGCACATGCAAACACACAGCACACATACACACAAACAGGCACACACATACAAGTGCCCTTGCTCACACCCCCACGCCAGCCAGCTCCCTGCAGGCCCTGCCGGCCACGTGCGGAGAAGGTCATGGAGGAGGTCGACGGGGCCAACTCAGCATAACCACAGCCCCGGCGCAGCCCAGCCCCCAGCTTTCCTCCACAGCCTGCAATTACCACAACAAAGAACAAGAACCGGGCTGGAGCAGGCCAGCTGGGCCCGCTCCTCCAGCTGTGCATGTGCGGGCAGACGGGGCCTCTGCCCGGTGCCCCAGGGTCCTGAACCCAGCCACAGCCGGGCCCAGCTCAGGGCTGGTGCAGCGGAGCTGGCCTCAGGCATGGCCAGGGTGCTGGATGGCAGCAGAGATGCCCGTTGGGCTCAGGGAAGGGTGCATAGAGCCAGCTGGCGCTCCCCAGGCTGCAGGGCTGTCCCGGGCACAGTGGGCAGGGCAAGGGCTCAGTCAGGCACTGCGGAGCGAACGAGGGGTCCCTCTCCCCTTCCCCTCTGGCCATCCTTGCTCAGGGAGGAGCTGGCCACAGCATGCTGCCCTCCCACCCTCCAGACCCACAGCCCAGGCGCTGAGCCAGGCTGGCTGGGAGCTCCCAGCTGCGGGCTGGGTGAGGTACAGGGGCACTCGGGGACCATCCTGCCCAGGGGGAGGGTGTGGGGTGCAGGGTGCAGTGACTGAGGCCTGAGCCAGGCTGCACCAGGGCCCTGCAGGGAACTAGCCCTGAGGGTGGGAGCAGCAAACACCCGCCACCCATACCCACCCCAGCTACCAGGCACAGGGCTCCTGCCAGGGCTGGGGGGTGCCCTGGGCCCCCCCAGGCTGCACCCCATGTCCCCGGGCTCCCATGGTCCCGCATGGCTGGGAAAGACCCTGCTCGGCTCCAGCAGGGGCTGGGTCCAGGCGGGGTCCGCTCACGTGGGCTCCCCGCTGTGGGCCATGAACACGCGTGGCCCCGGCAGCGTGGAGCAGCGGCGCCCCCTGGTGGGTGGCCTGGATGGCTGCAGCCCCACTCCCCTTCCCTGCTCCGTGGCGCTCCTGCATGCTGCGTGGGGGCAGAGAGTGGGGGGTGGCAGGGCCGTGGGGCGTGGGCCCTGGGTTTGCGTGACCACGGGACCACTCACCCCCGTGCCTGCCCGTGGGGGCTGCGGGGCTCAGAGCCGTGGGAGCAGGCGGGGTGGCCCACAGCCAGGCAGCCCCATGTGACCGTGGCTCCTTTCCCAGTAAGGGGATACGGAGCTGCTAAAATTAGAGGCAGCCTCACAGCCTGGGACGGCTGCCTGGGAGCTGGGGCAGCCCAGCTGCTCTTGGCCGGGGGTGAGGAAAGAGCCGGCCCAGGCGGCCCCTGCACGGACCCAGGCGGGATCATGGGCAGGGCTGTGGGGCAGGAGCTGGGACTCTGCCCCTGAAGAGCCTGGCACAGGGCAGAGACCCCCAGGCAGCCCCGGCCCACGGGCCCCCTGAAAGGCCCAGGGCAGCTCCAACTCTGGGGCAAAGCAGGGCTGGTGCGGGGGCAAGGTCTGTGCTGCACTATCGGTCACAGCTCTGGGCATCGGGTCCCCCTGGATAGGGACGTGCCAGCCTCCCTCGAGGGCAGCCTGGTGGGGCGCAGGGCTGCTCTGCACCCATGTCCCTGCTCTCCCCAGGGGCCAGGTGACGGCCCTCGCCGCTCCCTGGGGCTCTGGCAGGGACAAGGACCCAGGATGGCTGGGGGTGGGCCGGGACTCCTGGCGCCTTGTGACTTCCAACAAGTCCATAAAACAATGAGGAAGAGCCATGGGTGCCACCACCCACACGCAGGCGCTGGCAGGAGCTGGGGGCACGAGGGGCCCGAGAGCCGCCCTCGCCGGGGAGCGGCCAAGCACAGCGTGGAGGCACCTGCCTCAGGGCGCCGGGGCACGCAGCTCGCCGAGGCCTGGGCAAGCGGGGCAGGCAGGGGAGCGGCTCAGCAAGGCCCCACGTCGGTCTGGGCCGGCTCTTCCTCTTCCGCTGAGACAGGGCTTCAGACAGCGAAGCTGGCCCAAGCGCGGCAGCCTCTGCTCCGCGCTCCCTTCGCCCCGGCCGGCGCTGTTCCCCCGGACGTGTCTGCT